CCCATCGGTGAGTGCGGGCGGGGCCGCGGGTCACCCGCCCGGCTGTCCCCCGCGGGATTCGGGTCACCTGCCCGGCTGTCCCCCGCGGGATTCGGGTCACCTGCCCGGCTGTCCCCCGCCGGCCTCCTCGGGTCACCCGCCCGGCTGTCCCCCGCCGGCCTCGGGTCTCCTGCCCGGCTGTCCCCGCCGGCCTCCTGCGGTCACCTGCCCGGCTGTCCTCGCGGGATTCGGGTCACCTGCCCGGCTGTCCCCGCGGGCCTCGGGTCTCCTGCCCGGCTGTCCCCGCGGGCCTCGGGTCTCCTGCCCGGCTGTCCCCCGCCGGCTTCCTCAGATCACCTGCCCGGATGTCCCCGCGGGCCTCGGGTCACCTGCCCGGCTGTCCCCGCAGGCCTCGGGTCACCCGCCCGGCTGTCCCCGCAGGCCTCGGGTCACCCGCCCGGCTGTCCCCGCCGGCCTCCTCGGGTCTCCTGCCCGGCTGTCCCCGCGGGATTCGGGTCACCTGCCCGGCTGTCCCCCGCGGGTCACCTGCCCGGCTGTCCTCCGCCGGCCTCCTCGGGTCACCCGCCCGGCTGTCCCCCGCCGGCCTCGGGTCTCCTGCCCGGCTGTCCCCGCCGGCCTCCTCGGGTCTCCTGCCCGGATGTCCCCGCGGGCCTCGGGTCACCTGCCCGGCTGTCCACCGGGCAACTGGAACGAGAGCCTGGGAGCTGGGGCTTGGCTGCCGGGCGCCCCGGGTCACCTCGGGACTCCGGGTTGGGACAACCTCTGAGGGGACCCGCCGGTTTCCACTTAATCACTCCATAAATAATAATAATAATAATTATTATTATTTTTTGAGACAGAGTCTCACTCTGTTGCCCAGGCTAGAGTGCCGTGGTGTCAGCCTCGCTCACAGCAGCCTCAAACTCCTGGGCTCAAGCGATCCTCCTGCCTCAGCCTCCCGAGTAGCTGGGACTACAGGCATGTGCCACCACGCCCGGCTCATTTTTTCTATATATTTTCAGTTGGCCAATTAATTTCTTTTCTATTTTTAGTAGAGACGGGGTCTCGCTCTTGCTCTGGTTGGTCTCGAACTCCTAATCTCAAGTGATCCCCCTGCCTCGGCCTCCCAGGGAGCTAGGATTACAGCTATGAGCCACCGCACCTGGCTTTCAACAAACATTTTTGAGCCCCTACCATATGCCAGGAATAATAATTAACAGAGTAGAATTCCAGGTTTGATATTTCTTTATTTAAGCTCTTTGCTTTTTGGTAGGGTAGTTGTATGTTCATTGTTCTGCGCTGCTGAAGTCATATCTTGTTTCTTTCCTAAACCGGTAACAGGTTTCACATTGTTTTTTGAGAGGGCAGTGCCACTTTCAAATGGGTCAGCCTACATTATTTCAGAAGGTTCCAGTAGGTGGCACTCTTTCCACTCAATCGGCAGTGTGTTTTTTTGTTTTATTGCATTTATGGGAGAGATTCTGTTGTCTTAAAGATAATCTGTAATTAGTGAATGACTCTTAGACTCAGCCTACACTGGCTCTTTGATTTGCCCATCACGCCTCTGAACTTGGTCATTTGATTTCATTTCCCAGAGAGTTCTTTCTTTTTCTACAGTAAACACTTCTTTCTTTAACCTACTTTTCTCCTCGCCACCTCTGCATCTTTTCTTCACAACAGAGAGTGAAGACAGAAGTGAAATGTCATAGGGAAGACAGAAAAAAAAACATTGTGGGAACCAACAGGGGCAAAAGTATACATCTAAAGCATTTAGAATTCTGCCTGACGTTTCAGCTCTCAGTAAATGTTAGCTATTGTTGTTAGTTCAGGGCCACTAAATAAAATGTGTCCAGGACAAGCTGATTCGGGTCTGGAATGGCCATTTCTCAAGGGTTTAGCTTGAGGCCTCTTCCCTTTTTTTTTTTTTTTTTTCCTGCTTATTTGTTTTTTTCTCTCCCTGCTCTTTCTGTTGTGTAAATGTAAGCCCCCAATTTTCAAATTCTTTTGGCTGTCCTCCATAACAGTAGGACCATTTTGTAACCTCATCAGAAATACACGAGAATATTCAATTCCCTAGGTAGGACGTGTTGTCAGACTTTGGGTTTGGTCAGTCTGAAAGGTGACAAGATGTGACCTCAAGGTGGTTTTAATGTGTGTTTCTCAAAGTTGAGTAACTCTTCATATGTGTAAGAGCCATTGTATTTCTTTTCCTGTTAACTTCTTTTATGGTGTTTGGTCTATTTTTTGGTTGGACTGTTGATCTCTTCTCCAATTTTTTTTTTCTTCTCCATTTTTAGGGGATGATTTTTTATATTAGGGAGAAATAGTCTTTTGTCATATGAGGTTGTAAGTTTATTTTCCCAGTTTTCATAACGTGTTTTTTGACTTTGCTATACTGTTCTTTGAGAAACGGTGTTAATTTGTTTTTTTCTCTTTTTTGAGACTGAGTTTTTGTTCCAGGCTAGAGTGGAGTGCCGTGGCGTCAGCCTCGCTCACAGCACCTCCAACTCCGGGCTCAAGCCGATCCTCCTGCCTTAGGCCTCCCGAGTAGCTGGGACTACAGGCATGTGGCCACCATGCCTGGCTAATTTTTTCTATATATATTAAGTTTGGCCAATTAATTTCTTTCTTATTTATAGTAGAGGATGGGGTCCCCTCGCTCCTGGCTCAGGCTGGTTTTCGGAACTCCTGACCTCGAGCAATCTGCCTGGCCTCAGCCTTCCCAGGCGATTACACTGGGTGAGCCCCCGTGCCTGGCCAAGGACAAGTGTTTAACGACGGAAGACAGTTAACTGATTTGAATTTGTGCCTTTTTGTCTTTTGTCTTTCTTCCCTTAGGGACCTGGCTTCTGTATCTGCCGCGTGTACCTGGAGCATCGGTCTGGCCGCTGACCCGGGCTGTTTTCCAGGACTGGTACATGCTGTCCCTCTTTGGCACCGGGCCTGTCCTGATGCGGGCGCGCAGGGCTGCACTATCAACGACATGTGGGACCGGGATACGATAAAAAGTTAGTTCTGTCCTGGAAAGGAAGAGAGGAGAGCTCCTCTCGCGTTCTGGCAGAATGACACGACGGTGGCGTCACTTTGGATCCCCTAAGCAATAATCATTTAGTGCCCCAGCACGGAGAGGTCCTGGTATTAGTAGGTATCAGGTGTTGCAAAGTGCATGTGCGTTTCTCCTGTCTCAGCACAAGAGTGGGCACAAGGGGCAAGGTGTGCCTTCCATTTCTACAAAAGTGAATTGAGAATTTGGAAAAACTGAGGGTAAAAGAGTGAAAAAAAAAGCTTAGAGGCCGGGCGCGGTGGCTCAAGCCTGTAATCCTAGACTCTGGGGCCGAGGCGGGAGGATCGGCTCGAGGTCAGAGTTCAAGACCAGCCTGAGCAAGACCCCATCTCTACTAAAAATAGAAAGGAATTAATTGGCCAACTAAAAATATATAGAAAAAACAAGCCAGGCATGGTGGCGCATGCCTGTAGTCCCAGCTACTTGGGAGGAGGCTGAGGCAGGAGGATCGCCTGAGCCCAGGAGTTGGAGGTTGCTGTGAGCGAGGCTGACGCCACGGCACTCACTCTAGCCTGGGCAACAGAGTGAGACTCTGTCTCAAAAAAAAAGAGTTGAAGGTTAGGAGTGAAAGTGAAAAATCCATCTTGAACCTTTGAGTGTCCAAGAAGATCTGTCACCCCTTTCTTTAAGATGTATTTAAGAGCCCTGACTCCTCTTATGCAAATCACATCTTAATTTAAATGAACCAAGGCAGCCTTATGAGCGTTTTCTATAATTATTATTATTTTTTTGAGACAGAGTGATACTCTGTCGCCCGGGCTAGCGTGCAATGGCATCATCATAGCTCACAGCAACCTCAAACTCCTCAGCTTCAGTGATCCTCCTGCCTCAGCCTCCCGAGTAGCTGGGACTATAGCCTGGTCCCACCTCGTCCAGCTAATCTTCTTATTTATTTTTTGTAGAGATGGGGTCTTGCTCTTGCTCAGGCTGGCCTCCTGGCCTCAAGCGATCCTCCCAGCACAGCCTACCAAAGTGCTAGAATTCTAGCCGTGAGCCACCATGCCCGGCCGGCTATAATTGTTTCTTTAAAAAATGTAACTTTATTCTTTCTTTTCCTTAAAAAATAATACATATTTATTCTGAAAAATTCAGATAGTATAGAAATGCAAAGGAAAATAAGTTCGAATTGTCCTTACCTCCTTCCCCAAGATCCCAGGGAAAACTTCAGTTAATAGTTTGATTCATTATATCTCTCTGCATATTCTAATGCATGTATATAATTATTTCTTTGTTCCTCAACAGACCATTATTTTCTCAAGGGAAGGGCCATTTTATTTGCCTTTTATCCTAGCAGCTATACCATAATTAGTACAAGATCATTAAATGCTTGAGTAAGTAATCAAGGGAACTTTTAATTTAAAAGAAACCCATACTGAATTATATAAAGTGAATAGTCTTATATAGACTTACATAAAGCGAATAATCAGCCCAGTTTGCCTTTCATATGGTCTGAATTTTCCTTAAGGAAGGCACACCTACAGTCATTTTTTAGAACCAGTATTCATGTCTACTAATTTAAAAAAATTTTTTTTCTTTTTCTCTTTTTTTTTTTTTGAGACAGAGTCTCACTCTGTTGCCCAGGCTAGAGTGAATGCCATTGTGTCAGCCTAGCTCACAGCAACCTCCAACTCCTGGGCTCAAGCGATCCTCCTGCCTCAGCCTCCTCCCAAGTAGCTGGGACTATAGTTATGTGCCACCATGCCCAGCTAATTTTTATTTTTAGTAGTGACCGGGTCTCACTCTTGCTCAGGCTGGTCTTGAACTCCTGAGCTCAACGATCCTCCCGCCTCGGCCTCCCAGAGTGCTAGGATGACAGGTGTGGGCCATCGCGCCCGGCCTGATCTCACTCTTTATTTGCCTTTGTGCCTTAGTGTCTACCATGGGCCAGTCTCTTGATTAAATGTTTAAATAAATGAGCAATTACATGAGGCTAAGGGATCTATTTTGACGTGTTCAGGTAACAAGAACAGCCAATCGTCCCATAGCTGCTGGAAACATTTCAACATTTCAATCCTTCGTTTTTCTTGGGGGGCAGCTGACGTTGGCCCTGGGTGTTCTTCTGTGTCTCAATTACTACAGGTATGTTAAATGTGTTTTCCATCATCACGTGTAAAATCTCTCTTTACAGATTCTCTAGAAAAGATAGGAATAAAATAAAATTGGAATATCTTTACCGCAAAGTTTATTGGCTGCCAAATCAAGCACCTTGTACGTTTGCAAGTGTAAGTAACGTACCACATATTGTAAAGTCTGCTTCAAAAATGCTTTCAGCCACAGGCGTTGAGAGATCAGCATTTAATTATTCCGAGCCACTGTCAGTATTTGGACTCCATGTTCCCTAAGGGACACTTTCATAGGTTTTCTAATGTAGAATAGTGCCTCATAATACGTTGAAGTACTGTATGTGTTACCTGTTTTTTGTTTGTTTTGTAACGTTTAAAATACTCTAATCACCCTTTATAATAGGGAAAGTCAAAAGTGTAGGAAGATAATTTACATAACAAAGTATATGGGTAAAGATAAACAATATTTTCCAATTAGTGTCACTACTGTTGTCTTAACGTGTTTAGTGATTTCTAAGAGATAGTGACCCGAATCTTTTTAATGGTTTCTCCTGTTTTCAGTATAGCTCTGGGAGCTGCGTCCTTGCTTCTCGTCGTCACCTACCCGCTAATGAAAAGAATCACGTACTGGCCTCAGTTAGCCCTGGGTGAGCTTGAAACGACCATGAGTATTTCCTGTGGTCCTCTCAGACCGTGCTTGTATAGGTAGGTAGGCAGGCAGACATGAAATGTCAAATCAGTCATGAAATTCCCCAAAGCAAGAACAGACTTTCATATTGTAAAGAAGGACAGTCAGCCACTTTGATTACCTAAGAAATCTTGCATATTTATTAAGGTTATTGTTATGGGCCGGGCGTGGTGGCTCACGCCTGTAATCCTAGCACTCTGGGAGGGTGAGCGGAGGATTGCTCGAGGTCAGGAGTTCGAAACCAGGCTGAGTGAGACCCCATCTGTACTAAAAAAAATAGAAGAATTAATGGACCAACTAAAATATATACACAAAAAAATAAATTAGCCGGGCATGGTGGCGCATGCCTGTAGTCCCAGCTACCCGGGAGGAGGCCGAGGCAGCAGGAGGATCGCTTGGAGCACAGGAGTCGAGGTTGCCATGAGCGAGGCTGACGCACCGGCACTCACTCCTAGCCTGGGCAACAAAGCGAGACTCTGTCTCAAAAAAAAAAAAAAATTATCGTTATGATCATTATTATTTTCCGAAAGACTTTTTTATTCTTTTTTTTTTCTTTTCTTTAGAAACAATTAGAGGAGGTTTCTTCATATGAAAGACTTTTTAAAAAAATCTAGGTATGTCATGAAAAAGTGTCTGATCTAGGTGCCCTGAAGAATCCAGGGACTGGGGCGGGAAGCGCAGTATGGTCCGAGAGCAAAGGTTAAAGTAAAAGCACATGTGACAGCTTAGTGACGGTTCTGTGAAGCCCCCCAGGCGGAAGTTGGGCAGGTCTCTTCTGGTCTCCCAGAGCACACTAAGCTGGCACCTATTCATTCCAGCTGCATTAATTCGAAAAGAGTATTCCAGCTGCATTAATTTGAAAAGACACTCCTGTGTCTCCCCACGAGTAGACTGTAAATGACTAAAAGATGAGGTCTTCTTCATTCATAGCCCCGCAGGTGTTCAGGACATATTTCTTGGTGAAAAGAGAGGTCGGTAGGAACGTCACAATCTTTTGCAAAAATATCTACTCCTATACTTTTGTATTCCTAGAACATTCTAGAATATTCTTCGAACAATTCCAGTTTTTTGAACCCTTTTTCCAGCAATTTTAAAGAACCAAAAGATACTTAAAGCAATAGATGTGAGCCTGATTTCTGGTAAAGTTGTGATGGAATATTTTTTTTTTCCTAAGATCCTCACAATGAATGTCCTATTTATTGTTTTCAAAAAAAAGTAGAAAAGTATTAATATATTCTCAGTGCACCTGGGAATCTTGGTAAAAGGAGCCTGAGCACTTCCTATATACAAGATAATATTAAGAAACTAGTATGTTGGCCGGGCGCGGTGGCTCACGCCTGTCATCCCAGCACTCTGGGAGGCTGAGGCGGGAGGATCGCTCGAGGTCAGGAGTTCAAATCCAGCCTGAGCAAGAGAGAGACCCCGTCTCTACTAAAAATAGACAGACATTAATTGGCCAACTGAAAAATATATAGAAAAATAATTAGCCGGGCGTGGTGGTGCATGCATGTAGTCCCAGCTACGCGGGAGGAGGCTGAGGCAGGAGGATCGCTTGAGCCCAGGAGATTGAGGTTGCTGTGAGCGAGGCTGACGCCACTGCACTCTAGCATGGATGACAGAGTGAGACTCTATCTCGAGAAAAAAAAAAAAAGAAAAGAAACTAGTATGTTTACTGCAAACATTTATGGACCCCTGGCTTTGTGCCAGGAATTGCACCAGGTCCTAGGAAAGTAGGTAGCTAAACCAACGTGGCCATCTTTAAGGAGCCTGAAAGGGAGATGTCAGATGACCAGGCCATCGCAGGACACCGGGCCGCACGGGCACTGTGGGACCACAGCGACAGGCGCTTGGTCAGTCGAGGAGGGGACATTCCGCGTGGAAGATGCCATGTAGGAGGGGAAAGGGTTTCTGAGAAAAGACATCTGGGGCACACTGAGTTTGAGGTGCCCGGGGACCTGCAGGCGGAGGTGGCCGCAGACGGGAGTCTGAAGCTTAGGGGTGTGACCAGGCCGCAGCGGGGATTCGGGAGTTGTCCTGGTGCAGGTGTTTGTTCTCAGTCCTCAGAGAGGATGGGCTTGCAGAATAAATCAGCGTCCCTGGGACAGTCCTGTCTCTGTGGCTCACACACCGGTAGATGGAGATGGAAGGACACAGGCTTGTTTGTTTTGATTTAATTTTTTTGTTTGTTTTGTTTTTGAGACAGAGTCTCACTGTGTTGCCCGGGCTAGAGTGAGTGCCGTGGCGTCAGCCTCGCTCACAGCAACCTCAGTCTCCAGGGCTCAAGCAGTCCTCCTGCCTCAGCCTCCCTCCCAAGTAGCTGGGACTATAGGCATGCGCCACCATGCCTGGCTAGTTTTTTCTATATATATATTAGTTGGCCAATTAATTTCTTTCTATTTTTAGTAGAGACGGGGGTCTCGCTCTTGCTCAGGCTGGTTTCGAACTCTTGACCTCTAGCGATCCTCCCACCTCGGCCTCCCAGAGTGCTAGGATGACAGGCGTGAGCCACCTCGCCTGGCCAATTTCTTTCTGTTTTTAGTAGAGACGGGGTCTCGCTCTTGCTCAGGCTGGT